CCTGGGGGGGGGCAGTGGCTGCCAAGAGGGTACCAGGGGGCAGGAGGGCTGGGGGTGGCAGGGGCAGCCCCCCCATCCAATCCTCCCCTGCCCTTATCAGATGCTTCTGGTCTCCCAGGGCTTTGCTCCAGCACTGGAATGACCCCACACGTGTCCCCCACCTCGCTTCCCCTTCTCTCTGTTTGCTCTGTATTTTGACATCTCCCCCCCGCCGGTGCAGGGTGGGGGGCTGTGGGTGCACGATGGCCGGCTCTCTGATCCTGCCACTCTGCAACACGGATCCATCCTGGCTGAGCTCAGCACAGTGACACTCTTGCCGTCGTGTTGTGAAGCGATAGCTCAGCCGCATTTGCAAAACAACTTTTCCTCTTGTTTATTCCATAATGATCCATTGATTGTGGGTAATGTTGCATGCTTGCCGCGGCAGCCGTGCGAGGAACGCTCCCCCCGGCACGCTGGGGGGGCTCGGCCAGGCACTGGCACCGTGCTGGTAACCGGAGAGCCACCGAGAGCCAGCGTTGGCTGCAGCAACCGAGGGATCCCACAGGGCTCTCGGGCTGTGAGGCTGGTGCCTCACATCCTCCCCGCATCCCCCATGTCCGCCCCAAGTTCTGGCCCCTCTTGGCTCTTGGCTCCCACGGGACAGGGACCCGCTCCTTCCCTTTCATCCTCCCTGGTTGCGGCCAGGTCTGACATCATCCCCAGCGCCGTAATGACTGTGCAAGGCCTCCTGCTCCTGGGGAACCAGCGCTGTTGTGGCTTGTATTGGGGAACCTCCCAGGAACCCCTCTGGGATGGGAGAGCCAGAGTGTGGCACACACGTGCCACAGGGATAGGCACAGCTGAGCAGTAGTAGGAGAGGGTCAGCACCGCATCTGCCCCCTCCCCAGGGTCCTGGCATCACCCCAGTGCTGCCCCTGCTACAGCCCATGCTGGGTGATTGGGGAAACTGAGGCAGGGAGTGGTGATGAGGGGACCGTGCAGGCCCTGGCAAAGCCCAGCACCTGAGGCTGTCCCCCTGGCAGGCCTGGTGCAAGCCCTGAGGGCTGGTGAGCCTCCCAGAGCACCACACTGGATCCATCCTGTGGGAATGGTACATGATACCCAGTGCTGAGGGGCTCCCCCCTACACCCCTTTGCTGTTGTCCCCAGCCCCAGGGCAGGGCCACCAGTGCACAAGGACAGGGATGGAACTGGGACCATGGTGACCTGGCCTGATACACATCAAAAGGGCAGTACCAGGAGTGGTGGTTGGCCTGGGGAGGAGGGATAAGCACATGTCCCCTGCTGGGGACAGCCCAAGGGACAAGCTGGGTCTGGAGGGTGCCCTGTTACCACCTCATGCTGAATCACCCAGGGCTTGTTGGTGGGGAATGAGCAGCAGCAGGGATGGGGTGAGCATTGAGGTGTGCACCTGCCCGCAGCAGCACTGGGGGTGCCAGAGGTGCCTGTGCACACGGTCATGGCCAGGCCACCTGGCGTGTGTGCGGCTGGGGACTGCCCCGGGTGAGGGACGGATTTAGTGCCCGTGCAGGCAGGGCCCCAGCTCTGGTTCACAGGGCAAAGGTGAAGCTGTTTCACACCGTAAACACTCGCGGCAGAGCAGCACAGGGCAGGTGGGGCTGGGCAGAGGCTGCCGAGCTCGTGACAACTATTTATGGTTTCTCAGCTGAGGACACCCAGGTGCACCCCAGCCCTGGCCTGGGCTGACGTCACCAGCCAGGGGAGGATGAGGACCATCCAGTCCGTGGCCAGGAGCGAAGTTCATGGTGATGTGTGGCTCCAGCTGCGTGCTGCCCGGCAGGTAGGCACGGCCCAGTGCCAGGCTGTTTGTGGCCAGGGCAGGGCCACGTCCCCAGGCCGGCCATGCTGGGCACTCA